CACAAGGGAAATGACAGACCTTTTCATTCTGTCCTTTGAACTCCACTTGTCCAGATAGCTAAAACAGGTCTTTTTGAACGATAGGTCCTATCTGATTTTCCTGGTCTACATTTCCATTACTTCCTGTAGACTTAATTGTAACACTGATCTTTCAACATTCATTGATGAGGTCTGGGGCCACGGACCCTTGATTCTACTATTTCATGATTTTGCAGCTCATAGAACTGTTCTGACTCACTTATATGACAGTTTTGCTGAGTATCTACAGCTTTGCACTTTGCAGCTGTATCCTGATGTCTCCTTGGTCTGCCTACATTAGCAACAAAGTACCGGTAATTTAGCACTAGGCCATCCTGTACTTCTGTGCTCTATCCTGGGAAGAATTTTGCTGCTAGCTACCTGAGCTCATTACCTCCACAGTCTCTATGCATTTTGCCAGCCTAGTATTTCCAGTCTGCAGAGGCTACCGAAGGCAAGTCCTTCTGTGAGGAGGATTCAAACTGCTGCTCCTTTCTCTAAGTCATTGCAATCTGTGTGAAAAACTGCCCCCTACATTTGAATAGCAATACCAAAAAAATCCACCTTCCCTCACACCATTGGTTCACCTCTGCACTCTATTCAGAGTGCACCACCAGAAGCTCAAATTACCCTGAGCCCCTATTAATGCTTCAGGCAAAAACACTGGGCATGTTTCTTTCTGTCTTCCTAGACCTGAGGCTACCTGCTGCATATCATGGACAAGAGTGATTCAGAGAATATAGCTTACTTAGACTTTCAGAAAGCCTTTGACAAGATCCATCACAAAAGCTGTTAGAGTAAGCAGGGAAGGTCCTCTCATAGATCAGTAACAGATTAAAAGACAGGAAACAAAGAGTAAGAATAAATGGCCAGTTTTCAAAATGGTAAGAGATAAATAGCAATGTCTCCCAGGAATCTGCACTGGGACCAGTGCTGGTCATCATACTCATAAATCATCTGGAAAAAAGAGGTAAAGAGTGAGACAGCAATATTTTCAGATTATAAAAAACTACTCAAGACAGCGAAGTTCAAAGCAGCCTCTGAAGAATTAAAAAAGGATCTCACAAAACTGGTTGATTGGGCAACAAAGTAGCAGATGAAATTCAATGTTGATAAATGCAACATAATGCATATTGGAAAACATAATCCAGAGTATACAAACAAAATGATGCGGTTCAAGTTAGTTATTACTCACTTGGAGTTATTTTGGACATCTGCTCAATGTGCAGCAGCAGTCAAAAAGCTAACAGAATTTTGGGAATCTTTAAAGGAAAGGTCTGGATAAGAAGACACTTTATAAAACCATGGTATACCCACATGTTGAATAATGTATGCAGTTGTGGTTGCCCTGTCTCCAAAAAAGATATATTAGAATTTTAAAAGGTGCAGAGAAGGGAAACAAAAATGATTAAGAGTATGGAAAAGCTTCCATGTGAGGAGAGATTAAAAAGACTGGGACTGTTCAGATTAGAAAAGAAACTAAAGGGGGGGGGGATATGACAGATCTGTACAATTATGAATGGCAGTTTTACTTTAAATCCTGCATTAAAATGAAAACCAATCAAGGTTTAACATGACAAACAAATAAGTATGCTATCTCTGAAATGTATCAGGATTCCAAAAAGTTTCATGTTATTTCCAGGCCTTTTGCTTCATTTTTTTCAAACAAACCTAGTAAAGTCTTTGGGTGAAATACACCCCTGTTAACTTCCCTGGTTATGAGGAGACAATTTGCCCTCTTCTCTCCCTTCTCCTCACATTCTAACCTCTTCCTTTTTTTATATCCACTTATTGCCTCACCTTACATGCTTAGACTGCAAGCTCCTCAGGGCAGAGATTGTCTATTATGAATTTGTACAGAGTCAACTGTAATGAGGTTCTGTTGCTTGATAGGGGGTCGCAGGGCACTACTGCAGTATAATTTAATACTCTGATTAAATAATAATTACAACAACTGCAGTTATAAGGGGAAATTCATCCATGGCATAATACTTCCATTATCTACAAGTTAGTAATTTACAAGATTTTTGAAAGGGAGGAATAGAACACCACATGTGAAGATACTATGAGTAAATAAAATCCTTAGAAAATACATTTAAATATGTATGATCACAAATTTGGCAACAGGGCTAGCAGTTGGGAGTCAGTACACACAGGGAGCAGGCATGGCCGCAGGTAACAGAAACTGATAAGCATCAGCTTATCAGTTAACTGGTTAAACTCTTACATCCCTAGCTCTAAGCAAGCCAGTTCTCAGCTTCTCACCCTGTTCTCAGCACTGTCTTTGGTGTGTGCTCTGGTCATGACAGTTCTCAGCTCCCAATAATAGTCTTAGTGCTGTGAACTGTACCATGCACCAAACATGCCCCATTTCACTCCTCATCCCCATCTCTGTATGGTATGCCTGTTCCATGCACTGAGTGTACGTGTTCTCAGCTCCAAACTATGACCTACTATAAAGTAAGGCAACCAAAATTATTACAGGTATGAAACACGAAGAGACATTAAAAAGATGAGGTCTTTGCAGTTTAGAAAAGAGATGCTGGGGATACAGTAGAGGTCTATAAAATCATGACTGGTGTAGAGAAAGAGAATAAGGATGTATCATTTATCCCTTCCTATAAACACATGAACCAGGGTCTCTCAAATGAAATGAATAGGCTGCAGATTTTAAATAAACAAAAAGAAGTAATTTTTCACACACACAGTCAACCTGTGGAACTTATTGCCAAGAGATGTTGTGAAGATCCAAGCTATAATTTGATTTAAAAAAGTTATTTACTGTCTAAAGTTAGAGGTAGATGACAGAGGATGGATTACTTAATGATTGCCTGTTTTGTTCATTCCCTCTGTAGCACCTTGCACTAGCCTTGGTCACAATATAGGCTACTGGGTTAAATGGACCTTTATTTGGCAGCATCCCCTGTCCATAGCCAGCCCAAACTGCCACGAACAGGGAGAAACATGTTGCTACATAAAATTCTCTTTTATTTTCCTAGGTCACTATTATTTGTATTACGATTCTCTGCGTCTTTATTCTCAGTTTGGTGTACTTTTAAAGTAACAATTGGGCAATACAAGAAAAAAATAAGTGATATAGTTTCTGAGTGCACAGTTACACAGTATTCTCATCTGTAAAAAATATTTAACGAAATCTCCAAAATCCCCATCCCCCACTTATTGAGAGAGATTTAAAAAAAAATTAACTGGGAGCTGAATGTACAAGAAAAATGACCAGGTGGAACACCAATTTTAAAAGATCACCTCACAGAATTTTTTTTTAAATAGTAAATTTAATAAGGCTATGTCTAGGTACAGCCTATGTTGGCAAAACTTATGTCACCCAGGGAGTGAATACTGTACCTCCTGAGTAATATTAGTTACACCGACGTAAGTGTTTGTGCACGCAGCTTTATGTCAGCAAGGTAGCTTATGCTGCTCGTGGAGATGGGTTTTTATTTGTGCCGATGGGAGAGGTCTTTCCCCTTGTCATAGAGTGTCTTTAGTAGATGTGTTGCAGCAGCATAGCTATCAGCAGAGCTGTGCCACTGCAGTGTTGTTACGTATAGATATACCCTAAGAAAGGCAGGAAAAAACAGAACTCCAAAAGTTAGTAATCTATTCTTTAAACAAAAAAGGCAGTCTACTTTTTCTCATTAAAAACTGACACACAGCACTAACTGAGGAGATTATGTTGTGAAAACATACTGCATCGCATGGCAGTGCTTGATCGAGATCAGCAATCAGGAGTAAAAAGAAAGTACTGTTTCATGATTATAATAGCAAATTTTGGAAGACAACCAAATACATCATCTGGCAGCTCAACAGCTGCTACAGCTTGGTAGTAATACCTTGGCATTTGCTATAAACTATAACCTGAAAAAATTGATTTCTCATCTGCCAGAAACAATAATATGTTTTCCTTTTAAAATTTCTGAGTTTCTTTCAATAGAAGAGAGAGATTTTTGAGCCATTTTTTATTCTGCACGTTTCTCAGCATGACTGCCAAGTTAATTTTGTATTATTGTATTTTGATTCAAAAATAAATTTTGGGGATAAATATTGCATGCAACTTAAACAAACAACATGTTTAGCCAAATTCCATCTAAAAGCATGATGAGCAGCACAGAATATTTGTCCTTCATGCTATTATTTTTTGCACTTTCTATTTAGTAATTATTTATAATTAAACTTCACACACACTTGATAACAGGAAGTTTTCAAGCAGTTTGAGGTTCAGTACCCTCTTTCCTGTTTTGTTGATAGTGAAGGAAAACATTTTCCACATTGGAGTCCAAGTGAATGGATGTAGCCACATAATATCTTATTCTTATTAATGATGAGATTATACCAGTGTTTCTCAAAGTGGTCCGCAGATACACTCTGAGAAAGCTGCCAATGGGCCGCTCAAGTTTGTTTATTTACAGGCACTGCAGCCACAGAGCCTCGCAGTTCCCATTGTCTGTAAATGGAGAAACAGAGCTAATGGGAGCTACGAGGCTCAGTGGCTGTGGCACCGGTAAATAAACAAACCGGAGCAGCCCGTTGGCAGCTTTAATCAGAGTGGACCCGCAGACCACTTTGAGAAACACTGGATTATACCAATATTTGTTTATATATAACTCATTGATATGACATAGTAGAGGAAGGCAGGAGTTGCTATGCAATTTCCATAACTATATAAAATCATTAAAGCTTTTTTGTTTATACAGAACCAGTCTAAAAAAATCCTGTTTCTGAACTATATAATATTCCACTGGCACTGTAAAGTATGATTCATCTCAAGAACATTAAATGTCCTTTAGAGTTTCAGTTATCTGAAGGTTAAGTAAAAGCAATCCCTCATAAATATTTTAGATTCTGGTGTTCCACTTAGGTCTTGAAGTGTCAAACAATATCTCTGAAAAATCAATATTCACACAGTACATCTATGGGGAAAGGAAACTCAACATGGTATAAGAAGCTATCAAACAGATATCTACCTTTATGCCCAGTGCAGTTTTCTTGGCTTCCGCTTTTAATCTTGTTGCTCTTAACACTGGCCTGTTTTTCTTGTAATCTTGTTTTCCTAAGGTAGAAAAAAAAAGTTACTGTAAATGATGCATGGAAGATAAAGTACAGCTATAATTACTTTAGCTGCAGTGGCAGATCTAAATTTTTTAAAGAGTTCAGTGATAGAAAGAGTTATGACATAAGAACTGGATCAACAGCAGTGTCAGCAACAACCAGAAAACCAAGACGGTAGTTAACAAATCAACTTGAGTATGATAGTCCAGTGAGCTACCAAATTGCAAATTATGATAGGCCTCCAATGGTATGTTGGTTACTACAATAGCAACTGCAATGCTCAAGTAGCCATCTGATGGCACATATGTAGGAAACATCCTCTCTCAGGAGTCCGTACACCAGTCTATTCACACTCAGTGGAGAAATCCCCTTTGAGGCATACAGGGGATGTTCTCTTTGTATAAATTCTCCTCTCTCAAACAGCCACATTTTAGGGATTAGATATTGCGAAGACTCTCTATACTTGGTCAAAAATCAGGCATGAAGGATGTGAATAATCAGAATGCATTTGATGCTAAAAGGAAAGGCCCAGCACCTATTGTCAGTGGAAACCGAAGAGAGTCTCTTGGTGGGAAAGAATTGGGATCTGAGAGCTTGTATCCTACACACCAATACATTCATCCAGACAATGCATCACAAAGAAACATTTCCTTCCACTTGAGTAAAAGGCACCTAGAGATTTATAATGCAGGAGAATCTAACCTCCAAAGATATGAGGGCACCACAGAGCAGAAGAACATTTTCTAAAGCAATCGGACAAACAACCCAAAGGTTACTTCATGAGAAGAGGGGAAACAGAACCAACAGGGGTTTCTACCCTCAAAGTATTATAATAGCATGGTTTAATATGCAATGGTTAAGCAACTGTCAGAATTTCCATTATAAATTGCAGGAATTTATAACTCATAAAAATTCACTCCAGGGTGAAATTTGGCACAGAACTATCCCAGCTTGGAATATTTTTGAGCCAATTTTCAATAAAGTGATGCAGCTGTTCCAAACTTTCTTGTGAACAAACTATAGAAACCTATCCATTTGGGATTTTTAAGCACTAAAAATATCTTCAGCTTAAAAAAAAAGATAATTGAGAACTGCTAGCTCCAGTTTCAACTCTCATGACTCAAATTCTCTGTCATTCCTTCCATGGTAAATAAAGCAGAACAACCAACAGAATTACTTACATTCAAATATCTGCTTTTCCAGTGATGCAACAGTATTAGGTAATGAAAAATTATGTGGCTTTGAAAGAGCACAGGGAACCAGAAGCTACTGATATCAACAAATGAAATCTCCCCCATTTACTGATATTCCCTCTGAAGCGTAAACAGCAAAGGTGACTTACATTGGTGTAAATATTTTGTATAGAGTACGTAATCTCTGATTAAAGTTCATTTATTAAGATCAAATCTACTACTACAAGGTAAAATTCTATTATTTCTTGTAGCAAGTTGACCATGTAGTCACTCCCTCATGGCCAGGGGTTGCTTTTCAGGCACACTGCCCTTTTGACTGACTCATGTGGACCACTTAAGATCTGCACACAGGTTTTCACTTACTTGCAGATAGTTTAATAACAAAAACAATCCTCAGGGTCCAAAACTAAAGTATATCACCACACAATAGTCCATAATTAGCTCTGGACAGTCATAATTCTTCTCTCATAGCCAGAGCTCTTCTATCTCAGGTCCAAACTCATCCCAGGTTTTCCTATAGGAGCCTCTTGTTCCATTGGTCTCAGGCCATTCCCTGCAAGAACCCTTCACATTCCCTTCCATCTCTATACTTTCTTGAGCGTTCCCAAACCACCACATGCCACCGCTATTCTTTATAGGGAAATCACCCTGATCTTTCCCAGTTTGGCTCATTCTGTAACCAGAAGCTCCAGCAAACCAGTCCTTAAGGTTTGTACCATCCTGTTACAATTCTCTTTTCATAAGTTGCAAGCACTTTGACACTATTTACTACTGTAACATGATCATTAATAAGGCTGGCTTGCAGTTACATAGAGAATGCTTTCAGATTTATATTAAAACTGATATGAACTTAAATCACCTATATAACAAATATTTTAATAATGACTGTACAGCTGTTAATTCTCCAAAACTATGCACCTGTTATTAATTTACCACTCCTTGGTAAGTATGACAGTTAGAAGGAAAAAAAACATATGCTGGAGAAGAGTCTTGGGTCTACTAAGTGCAAAAGTTTTAAAGAGCATCTGTTCATTTTTTTTGCAATGAAAACCAGATTCTACAATTGTGCTAAAAAAAACCTCTTTAAATATCTGAATTTTCTAAATCCTTAGGAAAGACCTCTGCACAGGCCTTCAAAGAACTATGAAATGTAAAGTCCCTGGCACACAAAACTGGTAGTTATCACCTGTAACACACTGCACAGATAAATAATCTAAGTTTCTTAGGTTCTTTGGGTCTACAAATTCAACAAGTTCGAATATGCATTGACACACTTCTAATTCCTTCCTGTTTCATCTTGCTCATACAGCAAGCTCTCTCTGTACATATATCAGTCATCATCAGTCTTAATTGTTTCTTCTTCTCTTCTCAGGAAGTGATAGTCAAAGCCGGAAAAGAGGGATTCATCAGACAAAGACACATTTGTCTCCTACCCAATGTTTATTTAACAGACAGTGAATTCCTAAGGGAGCATAGGCAAAGAAACTTCAGAGGATAGAGCTGAAATACTTCCAGACTAAATCTGACCTTGTGTATTGTTTTAGCAAAACCCTTTTCCATCCCTTTTCCATTATCTTCTGTAGAGTGGGAGGGTCGCTGGTCCTTCACAGTTACCATAAGATGACCAGGGCATGATGTAGTAGTGAGTGCAATGAAGAGAGGAGCTTCTCTAATTTCTGCTTTTAAGGCACAGTTCTTTCTCACTCTATCTTCAAAGTACATGGTGTCAAAGTGAGTGCATCCCTGTCCTTAAATAAATGTTTCAGAGGAGCCATGTTAGTCTGTAACTGGAAAAAAAACCCGTAAACAATTAATAGTCTTGCAGCACCTTAGAGACTAACAAAAAATGAAGATGATATCATGAGCTTCGTGGGTACAACCCACTTCCTTCATCTTTTGTTAGTCTCTAAGTTGCTGCTTACAGAAATAGTAATGGAAAGAAGAGGAGACCTCTGCTTCAGTGGGTAAGGAAAGTGGAAAATTGGGGAGATCTGCAAAAGCTGTCGCAAGAAGAAGGCAGAGATATGTCTCAGCACAGCACTGGAGCCCAGAACACAAATGACTGTTAGAGAAATTTAGTTATGGCACCTCAGGCAATTGGCCTTGTTGGATCTGGAGATCTAAGTGTTTCTGGACACTCTCTGGTTTAACAGAAAACACACAAGAATAATAGACAATTTTCTTGATATTTGTTATCATTGATACTGCAGCTTGTTATCCTTGGAGCCCTTTCCAGAATACACGTAAATGAAAGAGGCTTTTCATGCCCATTTCACAGGCACCGCAGAATATTACATATAAAAGAGGAAGATGTAATAGGAAATGTCAGGAACAGTGGGAAAGAGCAGAGGTTTTTATTATTGCAATTTGTAAACTTGCTGGACAGTGTAAATATGAAACATTAGAAGAACTAAAGATACAAGATATTTGTTGGTATAAAAGATGACAAATTAGCAGCACAGCTAAATTTAGCAGACCCAGACATCACACTAGCAAAAGCTGTAGCAAAGGTGAAAATGAAAGAAACCACAAAGAAACAATATGATTTACTTACTAGCAGAATAGGAGAGACTGCATCAGATATTACCAACACTGTAAAGAGGACAGGAGCAATTCAAGCAAATTTATAATGTAAGAACAGTATACAACTAGGGAGTGCGAAATCAAAGAACCCTGTAATGGGGAAGTTTGGAAAAGCTGTGGAAGAGGTGGCAAGCATCAAGTCACAGCAGCTAAAAACATCCAGCAAAAGAGAAAGAATGTAGGAGATGCAATAAAATGGGACATATTACAAAAACATACTAGTCACTCAGAATAATGGAAACCAATCCAAAAGGGGGTGTTACTGTAAAATGACAATCCATAATAGGAACTACAGTCTCAAAAGAACAGACTACACCTAGGTAAATATGTATAAATGTGAAATACTGAAACCTTAAATATAAATGCTGCTTTCAGTGCTGGGTAGCTGAAGAATGGTGGCTGCTGTCTGAGATCCCATATCTGAAAGCAGAGCTGCTGCCAGCAGCAGTGCAGAAGGACAGCATTATATGGTATTGCCACCTTCTGTGCTGCTGCCTGCAGCGTTTGGCCCTCATATAGCCACCCAGCTCTGAAGGCAGCAGTGCAGAACTAAAGGATGGCACTTATTTTTGAGCTACTGCTCATGGGATGCTGCCTTCAGAAGTGGGCAGCGGACCAATAGCCACCACTTTCCAACCACTCTGCTCTGAAGGCAGTGCAGGAGAAAGGGTTATAAGACCACAATCAATCCTAAAATAACCTTGCAACCCCACCTGTGAACTCCCTTTAGGGTCAGGACTCCCAATTTGAGAAACTCTTGTCTCCTCCATTAAATCAGTATAGGATAGTGGAAAAGCACACAAAAGACCAGATTTTTTCAGGGGGTCGCCAGATTTCATGGTCCATGACATGTTTTTTCCTGGCCAAGAATTTGGTAGGCCCCCTAAATATATGTAATGCAAGGACTAAGAACTAGGATTGCCAGCAATGTAAGGACTATAACAAATAGAGAAACTAGATTGCAATAATGGAAAAAAGCAAACTAAACAGGAGATGTATCATATCCACACATCTTCACTGAGTTAGTCAGCTATCAGAGGAGTACAAAATAGAACGGGTGCCAAGAACAACTACTTTTTGCTCTCAAAGTCCCATACCACTGGGGGGGGGGGGGGGAATCAAAGAATAATTAAAGAAAATGTACATCATAGGGGTTATTTCCCAGATAAAAGAACCCAGTGACTGAAACCCAATGACAAAAATCAACATTGTGGACCTTACACAA